TGAGAACACACACCCTGAGACCCCACTCCGGAGGAGGGTCCAGCAGGGCACGAACTCTCTCGCCGTACAGCAGACTCCATATAGCTCGGACCTCTGGATAGCCCCGCGTCCCGTCGGAGAACAGCGTCAGCCCCAGCTATGGCTGATGCTTCGCAGGTCCAGATATGGCTGTCTCCACCAACGCTGAGCCGTCACCACGACCAGTTCACGCGTTGCGCAGCAGCGATGTACACGGTACCAACTGCCAAAAGCCCTGAACCGATGTGGCCAATCTATCTATAGACTACACTAGCCTAGACTCGACCTAGACCGGACTGACTGACCGACCGGTACCGTTTCTGTTTCGGCCTCTCAGCCTCTACCGGACCCGGCTATAGGCTATAGGACCGTCTATCAGAATAGGCCCTGAGGGCCTGTCTGTCCTAGGTGTAGCCCGGGCCTGCTATCCGCAGTTAGGGTAGCTGTAGGGAATTTGGTTAGTACCGGGCCTGTATATTCCCGAATTTGCAGATATACCCCTCACGAATTTCCCTCACAGGTTGGTCTCTCGGTTAGCCCTCGGCCAAACAAAATTACGAATCTGTCCTACCAGGACCTACCTATAGTACAGCCTCGACAGAGAGAGGCTACAGGCAACCAGAAAACAGCAAGTCATTGCAGTAGAGTGTGTGTGAACAGTGGTGTTGGACACAGTGACGAGAGTTGGATGTGCAGGCGCTGATGCGCCATAGCCTGTTATTGCTAGTTTGCATCCGAACTGTGTTCCTGGTTACCATATCTCTGAGCTTTGAGTGGGCGCCAAGCGCCATTGTGAAATCTCCATCTGTTTGCATGTATGCAAAGTGTGAAAGAAAGCGAGTCTGATTTCATTATAGGTATCCTTCATTAATGCCCAACTATTTTATTAAGTGGATGCATGTGGTCATGTCCACTGACAGAGAGTGCTTGTTGGATACACGTTGTTCCCGTATGCATTGACTGTATGCTAAGGGCTTCCCTTGGCCTATGCTTGAGGGTGTGAAAGCCAGGCCTCCAGTTGTGGGCAATAAAAACCTTCTTGCTGCATTTCTGATCGAGTGGTGGACAGTGCCCGTAAGTTGTGCCATAAATTTCAGAGTGAAATGGGTCGTACGTCTAGCAGCTGCACAAAATGCCCACAGGAATGGTCCTTCCCTCGGCCCCTCTTGTAGAATGCTGGTGCATTTTTCTTTGACCCAAGCCCTATATAGAAAGAGGCCTTCTTCGCTCCCTCCATTCACACCCTTTATTTCATGTTTGCCTTCATGCATCATGCCAGGACAGAGGTGCACACATAGGTCAGCAAGCAGGCGCCAGAGTGTGCAGCTCGCCTGCTGTTCCCCAAATAGAACACCTGAGCATTAGGGCAACTGTTGTGCCACATACAGCAACAATAACTGGCTATGAGGTGATCACATCTGTGATTCTAGCTGTCAGAAGGACTGTGGGTATAACGTAGAATATTCTTCCATGGGACCAATCCTGTGAATGTGTTTTTCCTCCTCCTCCTCCTCCTTCCCCTCCTCCTGCTGCTGCTGCTTCTGCTTGTGCTTCATGTGACGATTTTTGGGTGGGTGGGTGTAAGGGTGCATTGGTGTGTCCAGGAATGAAGTCATCACTGGTGTGGAGCTATATGTGGATTGTCCACCTGCAGAACAGTTGGAGTGTTGGCATGACAGGGGGACCCATGCTGCATCATACCTGGCCGTGATGTCAGTACTCAATTGTGGGAATGGCTCATAGGGAGTTCGTTGAAAGTACTGAAAAGCAGAGGGCTTGATCAGAGAAAATCCTTGAGCATTGAAGACCCTCATGTACCCAGCGATATCTGCCTGGATGGCACTGGAAAGAGAGGAAAAGAGTATGAGAGACAAGAGCTGGACAATGGTGTTCATAGTGGAAGGGGACATGAACTCCCGGTGCACACAAAGATTTCCAAGGGAGGCCTCCTGGCGGAGGAGGCGGAAGCTACGAATTACGGAGGTGCACAACAGGTCTCACATAAAGATCCATTGGCAGTCTGTGAGGGCTCCTGTATGTCAACAGGCCATGGCTGGATCAAATTTGATCCGGAAAGCTCTTGGAATGGCCAGAGTTACAGGCCAAACAACAGGAGAGGAATTGGCAGAGCGGGGATAGGAGTGGACACTTCTTTGGATGCGTACACATCTTCTTCAGGAAGCAGCAAGTCGAAGGGGGATGGAATGAGATTATGTGAAGAGAGCATGAGATTGTGTGAAGAGAGCAAGCAAAAGCTCGACTCTCTTGCATGTATTGGAGGCTCCCTTGGGAGGGAGGACATTGACATCACATTACCAAAGGATTGTGAAAGGAATGGTCCCTATGAAGAGAGGGGAGGGAGGAATAACTACAGTGCGACTCGCATTGGGGTGAATGCCAAAGATGTGGCTCTGCAAATTGCCAGGCTTTGGGATCAAAGAACGAGTACAAAGAGGGAGCATGCACTGTGCGGCACTGAAACTTTAGGGGAGGGATTGAGATTGAGTAGTCTCCTTGACCGTCACAGGAATTGGGGGAAAGAAGTGGGGGACAGAGGAGGTGGAGGAAAACATGATGATCATGGAAGATGCACAAACTGGAATGGAAATGGGAAAAATGACCAAAATTGGCGTCGCCGTACCACCGGTGGCAGTGAGATGGAGATGATGTTGGGCTCGAATGGCAGTGGCGGTGAAGGGATCCAGGTAATCTCAAGAGCAAAGATATGTAGAGGGAGTCTTTCAGAAGATGACAACTCTCATGCAATGGTTCGGAATGGTGGAAGCTTAGGCTTTTCTTCTGGAAACATTGGCCTTGGGTATGCTCATGAGCTGGAAGTTGGCAATAGGAGGAGGGAAGCGCATGAAGGAGATGTAGAAGGTGGTCGGCCTTCCACAATGGATTGGAGGAGTTACAAACCATCATTTGCTGTCAAGAGGAGATCAAAAGAAAGTGAGCAGAATTGCCATGTGGATGGACGCACTTCCAGAAGTAGTAGTCCAGATGATGCTCTCAAGAGAAATGCAGAGAGAAGGCAGCACTTGCAAGATAGAGCTCAACTTCAAACCATGTTAGCAGAAGAAGTGGAAAGAAGGATGAGGGAGGAGGAGGCAGCAGAAATGAAACGTAGACAGGTGGTGGAACTTGAGCAGAATAATGAAAGGCTGCTGAAACAGCTGAAGGAGAGGGAGCAAATGATTGTGGACGAGAGGAGGAGAGTAAAGTCTAGAGAAGAGCTGCTCCAGAAAGATGAAGAGGAAAAGGCAAGGCTTGAAAGAGAAATTCAAGCCCTGCAGACAAAGGAGGGAGATCGGCATTCTGAGTTGGAACAAGACARGGAGAGCAGRATGGTTATGGTTCTTGAGAAGGAGAAAGCAAGGTTAGAAGAGGAACTTGCTTCAGAAAGGCAGAGAAGAGAGCAAAGGGAGGAAGAGGTGAAGGAAGAAATGGAAAAGAAAATGGCCGTGCTACAGACACTGGTAAASAAACTGCAAGAAGAGAAGAGCACTTTAGTGGAGGGCCTGGCAACGGAAATGGAGAGCAAGGCTCATGAAATTGCCGYAGCGAAGGACATGATTGAAACAATGAGGAAAGAATGGGACGAGAGGGTGGAGAGAGAAGCACAGAAGGTGCGGAGGGAGGCTGAAGAAGAGGCAGAGAAGAGAGAGCAGGAACTTACTGTGGCACAGGAAGCTGCGGAGATGGAGGTCGCCCAGGTGAAACAGCAGGCARCTAGGATAGAAGATGGAAGGAGGCGGCTGTATGGCAAGCTAGATGACAYGAGAAGCTCTAAATTTGATGGAAGGGAGAGGATTCAAGAAGAAGAGGAACTGGCAGCAGTAAGGAACGAGGGAAATGATAGGGAAAAGGTTGTCCCGGATCCACAGGTTATGTCCGGTCTGATTGGGAAGGGAGAGGAGGGTCCAGAAAGTCGCCAACATCAGGCAGGAGAGAAACAGGAAGCTCAGCTAAAAGAAACTCTAGTGTCTGTGCAGTGCCTATGTGATGAACGAGGGGAGGTAATCGACTCCATGAAGAAGAAGATGCAGCAAGATAAATTGCTGATGGAGGCGAAGGAGAGGGAAAATCGCAGGCTTATGGCATTGGTGGCCGGATTTTCGGTTGGGAAGGAGAAGCTGAAAAAGGAGCTTAGCAGAGCAAGACAAGAAGGTGAAAAGTTGAATGATGAGATGAAGAACAAGGAAAAAGAGGTAGAGCAACTGAAAAACGAGGTTAAAGATCTTGAGAAGAAGTTGTTGGAGGGAGAAAGAGAGAGGCAGGAGTTATGGACGTCGATCTCTGGCGAGCAGTCATGGGATAGGGAGATAGACGCCAAGGAAAGGGAGGTAGATGAGCTGAGAAGTGTGGTAAAGAATCTAGAACAGCGGTTGCAGGAGGGCGAACGAGAGAGGCAGGAGCTGTGGGAGACCCTCTCTGGAGAGAAGTCCCTGGAAAGAGACATAGCGGACGAGAAAAAAGAGGTAGATGAGTTGAGAAATGTAGGAAAGAGTCTGGAGCAGAGACTGTTGGCGGGTGATCGAGAGAGGCAGAAACTTTGGGCATCGCTTTCTGAGGATCAACCAAGGGAAAGAGAGAGAGCAGACAAGGACGATACTGAGGTATTTAAACGGAGGACATCTGTGCAGAGTCTTGAGGGGAGAAGATCTCTAGACGGTGACCAAGACAGGCAACAATTGTCAGGGAAGTCCAGATCTGACGAAAAGATTTACGGAAGAGAGATTGAGGTCAAAGAAAAAGAGATTCAAGAGCTCAGAAATCTGGTGAAGACTTTTGAGCTGAGGCTGCAAGAAGTTGACAAAGAGAGACAGGAGTTACGGGCATCATTTTCTGCAGTGCAATCACAGGAAATGAAAGAGATGGACGATGCGAAGAGTGATGTGGAGGAGGTCATTGCAGCAAATGAACAACTGCGTGCTGAGATTGCTGCCAAGAAGGAAGAGCTGGCCAAAGCAGAGCAGAAAATGATGAAGGAAAGGACAGAAAGGGAGAGGGAGGTGAAAGAGTTGAGAGAAACAGAGTCACAACTGCGGGAAAGCTTGCAAGAGATCTCCAGAAGATTTGACGAGGCTATCAGTGGTAGGAAGCAAGAGGAGGAGCTTGAGCAGCAAGGGGTTGGCTGGAACTCTGAGGTGGCAGAGAGAGAGAAGGAAGTTGAGGAGCTGAAGGGAATTGTGAGGAATCTGAGGGGAAGACTAGTAGAGTTGGAAGGGGAGGTTTCACGGTTGAGTGATGATGTTGAGGAATGAGAGGAGGCGCTGAGGCTGCTTGAGGAGGTGCATGCCAAGCAGGAGATTGTTGATGAAGCTCGTGATCAGGTACGCTTACATGGACTCAACTTACTAAGTTGCAGCTTTGATTATGCTGCTTCCTTACTGCACTGTATGGCACCGATGAAGTTCCAGGGTACAGAGGTCATTTGCAAGGAGTTTGCCGAAGAGGGGAATGTGGACACCAGTGGGGAAGGGTAGAAAATGCGCCCTAGCAGTGAAAGACAGTTCATTGATTCATCAACCTTCCTGACCTAGTGTGTGCGAAAGATGGTCAGAGTACAGCTTGCACTGGAACGCTGAGCTGCTACGGAAATGGAGAGATTGCAGTAAGTTGAAAGAAACTGCTCAGGCCTGAGTAATGTAGGGCCATGGCAAGTGGCACTCCTGATTTGAAGTCTGTTCCCCTCCTGGCCTTTGGACTCCTGGTGTGTTTCTGCTGATCCATCATCAGTGGGTGGTCAATCAATTCGAACACAGCTGCCCCAGGAAGGACTGTGGCAGGGACCGTAGCAGCTGAAGGTGAGTCTGTCGGATGTCAGATGTCGGGCTCTATCACAGCAGCTGTTCGATGAGAAGCATTGACAATCATCAGTCAAGCACTCCCATTTTCAATGCCAATGTCAGGAGAGGAGGAGAGAGGTGGTTAGTGGAAGTGAATGACTAATTGATCAAAATTCAAACAATAACGATAGCAGAAATAACTCGTTTCTGCCCAGAGGGAAGCAGTCCCAACCTTGACCGGACAGAAGCAATTTTTCGGAGTGAGGAAGGAAGGTAAGACATATTTCAGTGAATCATGCCCTGCGATCATGTGGATGATAGCATTGTCTTTTGGAGTCCGCATGACTGTCCACAAGGTATAGAAACGGTGGTACCTCCTTTTTGGCTGAATGCTACACACCCGAAGGCAAAAACCAAGAATAATCAGGCCAGAGTTCACATCCTGTTTGGACATAAGAATACAAAGGGCTAAGCTATCCCCTCTAATTGAACGATCGGTTGCCTGCCGCGCCATCACCCTCGGAGCACACCTCCCCCCTCTTCTTCGTCCTCCTTCACCACCTCCCCCTCCTCTTCGTCTTCCTCCATGACCTCCTTCTCCACATCGTCCTCTGCCACCTCCTCTCCACCCCGTTCCCCCATCCTCCTCCTCCTTGGCAAGCACCCTGTCCTGTGCCGTGTTCTCCTCTGCCACCTCCAGTTCCTCCTCCTCCTCCTCTCCCTCGTCCTCCTGCTCCTGCACCCCCTCCTCCTCTGGCATGTCCTCTCCTCCTCCATCTTGTGCCATTCCAACCCTTCCTGCTTCCTCCTCTGCCATTCATGTGCCCTTCCCCCCAAAAAGAACACGCTTTAAAGGAAACAAAGTCACCTCCTGATTGAAGACCATGGGCCTCTCTGCACTCAACATTCACCCGGATGTATCTGGAATGACTCGTGGCCAAGCCAGAAGAAAAAGAAAACACCCAGCCAAAGTTAGGCACAACTCAGCCCTTGCATGGCCAAGGATTACCATGTGGACGGGGAGCTGTATGTGGCCTGGGTGATACCATGTGGGGTGGGCGGTGCCATGTGGAGTGGGTGGCGGCATGTGGAGTGGGTGGAGGCATGTGGGGCGGGTCATATTATGCGGATTGGATGACTGCACTAATGCCGACCGGGAGGATCCAGCTGTCTATCTCAGTTGGTTGGCACTGTTTGTGAGTGGGTTGTTAGTGGGTTGCTTGTGGTGTGTGGGAGAGTGTTGGCCTTAGACACTGCTGTTACTCGATGGGGGTGGTGGAAGATGAAAAGGGAGGTGCAGCTACTGGCAAATGCTCGGTCCTTGTGTCCGCTGGGCCCCCACCAGTGGCCCCAACCCTGCACCCTAAATGTTCCATACTAGTGAAAGTGAACACAAGTGAAACGGTTTTCACTTTTTGCAGATGCGGATCCCAGGGCTCGATCCCCAGACCTTGCCTCACCCATGTACAGTATTAAGTCGACCCCTGTGTGTTTGAACCCGTGACCTGTGTTTCGTTAGATGACTGTTGTCTCTCGTAGGTCTGTGTAGCTGTAGGGGTTCGATCTGTAGGTCTGTCGAGTAGGGGTCATAGTTGCGCAGAGTCCGTAGCTGTAGCAATTCTGAAAGTTCAAGGTTGTAGCTGCTACAGTCCTGAAAGGTCAAGGTCGTAGCTGCTACAGTCCTGAAAGGCCAAGTCCGCAAACTTCCGGAAGGTTTCCGGAAGTGGCCTTTCAAGTTTCTTCTCACATCATACATAGCAGGCCAGAGGCAAGTGGGCAAGTGGTGAGTCCAACTTTGTCTTGTCAGCGGTACCCAGTCCCATTCTTATTTTGTACAGTCAGCAAGTACCATGTGGGACTGTGTGCGCCGTGGGCCTGGTGGAAAGGAGCAGACCAGCGGCCAACAGAAGTATAAATCAAGAGGCAGCGTCCAGCCATTCATTCATTCCTGCGTGAGCCATGCGGAAGCGCTGCCCTAGCGCCTTGTGCGAGGTGGTCTGCAGAGGCCTGAAGTCGAAGTGGGCTGAAGGAGAGTTAGTGCAGCCATAGCTGCTTCTAGTTAGTGGTAGTTGGCGGCCATAGCTGCCATAGCTAGTGATAGGTGTGTATGCGTGTGTGTTACAGTGTGTGCGTGGAGTATTTAGGGTGATCCAGAGTTGAGTGTGTGCGAACAGTGGTGTTGGACACAGTGACGAGAGTTGGGATGCACAGGCGCTTATGCGCCGTAGCCTGTTGAAGCGAGTTTGCATCTGAACTGTGTTCTCGGATTCCATATCTCTGAGCTTTGAGTGGGCGCCCTAGCGCCAGTTTGCTTTGCCATCTGTTTGCATGTACGCGAAGGGGAAAAGAAAGCGAGTCTGATTCCATTGGTATCAGAGCTGGTTTTCGTTACTTCATGCGCCATCGCCATTGTTGACAGTTGGGCGCCATAGTTGAAGCTGCGCCATTGAAGGAGGAAGGTCCGCCATAGCTGCGCCATCGAAGAAAGGTGCCGCGTACCTGCAAGGAAGACAA